CTCTCTCTCTATCTCTCTCAATTTCCATTTCTTTTCATTCCCAGACTCTAAAAGACTCCTTCCCTCTACACCACTATCACTTTTTCTCTGCCTTCTTTACTTTCTCTTTATTTCCTTTATAAATATTCATGATCTTCATTTTTTCACTTTTTATTATGTGAGGCAGCGTGGTGAAGTTGGGTGCTCGTCAAAATAATGAAAATGAAGAAACCTGCAGTTTTGGCAATTTTTATCGAATTTTTGTTTTTGGCCTAACACCACCGTTGTCCAATTAAGAACACATTTCCGGGTGGACTTTACAGAAAAACGTTGATTAAAGTCACAAAAAAATGTAGGTTTTTCAGTTTCAACAGACTATCGTTATCAAGCTATGGGAAAAAAGGTACTTTGGCGGCCTTTTTCTTGGTAATTCCACCTTTGAAACCAGGCGACCCGACTTTCTTCAGTCTCAAACTCAAATATCTAGACTTCTATTCAAGATAAATGGGCATTTTTTTCACTAATAGCAAGACGACAACTGAACAGGCTTTAAGATGATACCAATAACTCCACATGCCCAAAAATTGACGAGCACCTGATTCCACCACGTCGTGACACATATTTCTTTATTAAATTTATCATCCAGTTTCAAAAATTGTTATAAACGTTTGTACCTATTCCTACAATCATGATCATACAGACATGGAACAGATACACTTTTATACACAACACACTGCAATACACACATAATATATAATACACATTACGTACAATATACCAACCACGGTTAAAACAGCTGTAAACAATTAGAAAATAGAAACCTCATATTTTTCTTCGCTATTTGAACAATTTCTCAAAACAACCCCCCCACCACACCAGCCAAACTGAAGAAAATCCAGCAGTACTGCAGGTTTCAGTATAAGTGAACTCCATTTTACATATTATTTATATGCTGCCAGAGTGTGTACATAATAAATTTTCATGTAAATATTCATGACGATGATATAGAAAAAAAAGAAACAAAAATATATCGCCTGAAAAGCATAATTATCATCAGTAATTAAATAACAGTACACTACGTTAATCACCATGGTAAAAAAAAAGTCAACTAAATCCCTGAGAACAACATGAAAAAGAAACAGACCAAACAAACATGAACCTCGTAAAGTGTTCCTTCAAATAATTCAGTCAATATACATTAACATAGTTTGGCCTGTTTCCCAAACCTCTTTCCTACAAAGAGGAGCATTAATATTCAACTGAAAGTGTCAACGACAAAAGTTTTCTTCCTCAGGGACTTGACAGACGAGATGTAAAAATCGCAGCAGTAGTTTCTGCGCAATCTGGTAATGCGCTGTAGACAATGGGAGCAGTCACACGAGCTACACACATTGTTTTCACTCCTGGTGTAGCATACATATATCGCCCAAATTCTGCTACGCCACGACACACTTGCTTTTTTGTGAAGCACACAGTTCAGGGGACGCAGACACACGAGATGCATTTACTGCCTTCAATAGTTGTGTTTTTTCTCCCTTCTCATTCAACACGACAACATTCCCAGTGCAACCATGTCCTCTTATCTCGAAACAGAGCGTTTGATTTTGGAAATAAAGAGCAGCAACATCATTTGGGACAACACAAGTGAGGAATTTCTTTCTTTTTTTCCATGATGTTCGGAGAGATGTATATCTAGCACTCAGACCAGAATATAATGATGCAAGTGATGCATTGAAGAAACAGATACGTAAACAACTTTTCCATTTTATTTGACTTTTATCTTGACATCTTCTTGAGGTTCTTCATATAAGGTGTAAAGCTGTCCTCTTACTCTTAGAAATCTGTGAGAAACAATGGGATGAACCCAACATCTTCTTTATCACTTTCTTTTTTTTTTAAAGAGTCTTCTCATCACCATGACCAACGCCGCCCTGACTCTGCAATCGTCCTTGTTGAACTGAGCAGTAGCGTTAAATGTCACCCCGTGTGGCTGTCACACAAAAGTAAGCGGCATTTTCTGTGCGACAAGTGCAGCTCGTCTGTCAAGGCCCTAAGTAGGATCATTTCTGTAACACTTTTGTGGCCAGCAGATTTGTCAGGAACATCGCTGCTGACTGAGTTTACTGAGAAAAAATGTGCCCATTACCATGACCTTGGAATAATTCTACATTTTAATGTACATGTGCCTGGCAAACAATTAAAGAAGGTGTTGATTTCTATATTTTTTAAAATTCGAAGAAAACATGGACTAGACAAAGGAAGTTGAACAGGTTTGTTTAAAACCTTTCTTCAAAGCTAGTATTCTTTTCACTGGCCCAAGGAAGAGGTGTTGTCAACGGTAGAGTATACTCATCCATGGACATTTGGGGGTTAAAATATAGTCAAAACTGTTTAAGTAAGGCAGCCATCCACTGTCGAGGAGAAAAGTGGCTGTCTTAGACAGGTGATCCTCTTACATAGTGTCATTTTTTATGTAAAAAAAAAATACACAAGAGAGGAAGTGGAAGCGGCCGATTTTACAAGTGATTTATCTTATACAGGTGGTTGATAGAGCAGGTTTGACTGCACATGAAAACAATAGGTCTCTGCGCTTAAAATCCCACTTCAACACAGTAGGCCCACCACAATTAGTACAATTCTGGTCATTTTTCAGAAGCTAAATCTGTCCCAGGTTTTCTAAAAAGGGCAGACCCATATCACACTTATAAAAGATGATTCCCCAATATTGCACACCTACTTATAACCATTATAATATAAAAACAGAGCAATTCAGTTAAATAAAGTAGAGGAAATGAACACATTTATGGTCATATGTTGCTTTTTAAAAATGCAACATCATAAAAGTAATGAGGAAGGAAACATATCATCCATGTGGCAAGCTGTTTGCAAAACTTTATAAATCCCTTCCCTTCTATTTTTCTTATTTTAAAACTAAATCTAGAAACTTGACTCCAAACACAGGATAGATGGGGAAAAGAATGACTGGACCCTGATAACTTTATTTAATCTAAATAACAAGTATCTTTGTAGCCTTAGTATGCTACACTGATAACCCGTGCAACTGTCCTTCATACTGGCAGCTTTGCAGAAGGCTGCTTACACAAAAACAATGGAAACATGAATTTAACAAAATAGCTCTACAAGAGGCTTACGCTTTTTTGTTCAGATAAAGAGAAGCAACAATCACTTAGCGCTGGCAGAAAAAAAAGAGATGCACAGAAAGAACAGGGGGAAAGAAACAAAGTAAGACCTACCAGAGGCAACCTTCAACAATCCACCTGCAGGACGCTGCTAACACAACAGTCGCAACAGATCATGACGAAGTTAACACATCTTCTGTACAGGAGGCTGCTACCACAATAATTACAACAGAAACAAGAGTAGGATAAACACTATATATGTGTTTCCAATAAAACTGAGACATTCTTGCTTTCTTAGAATATAACAAACTCTGAAAACATGCCTCAACTAAACTCGCCTGGACTTCAGTAGAACTCATTATATCCCATTAGGAAGAAAACGAAAACCCCACAATATAATACCACTAATCAGTAATCATAATTGTAACGGCACTAAAATGCAATAACAAACGAATGCTTGTTTGTTTCGTTTTAAAAACATAAGCAAACACTATCTACTTTTTCAGTTTCTTATTCGGCTGCTTGTCAAGCTCTGTTGACAATTTTTTTTTCCCTCCTCCTGACGTCTTCACTGGGCTGCCTGTAGATATTACGGATATTCGTGTTATGACACATAAAAATCAAAAACAGCACTATCGGTAGACAATATTATTATGGAAATTCATGTTATGTTTAGAGTCAGTCTTATGCTGTCCTGAAAATAAATCTTATCACGATAGGAAACATCGATAGCTCATCAAGCATAAAGTCATAAAGCTGAACTACGAAGTAAATGACACTGGTTCCAATCATTACGGATGGTCTTGAACCCAGGTTGTCTAAGAGTGTTTTCAAGGCCCTTTGGGCACTTGGATTGGTCCTACTGGAGAAGAAAATTAAATTGGAGGCCATGCTTTGCCATTAACCTAACAGCATCAAAAGGAGTGTAAAACCCATATGTGGCGTCGGTGGCCTAGGGGTTAAGCTACCGGACTCATAATCGCGAGGTTGCGGGTTCGGGGGTTCGAGCTGCGGGCCCAACGTTATGTCTTACTTTAAACAAATTTTCCTCACTTCACCTTGGTGGTAATGGGTATCTGGCCATAGAAAGTGAAAGATCTTGTCAGTATGTTAGTGTTTCAGCTCCTATAAATGGCCGCTTGCACTGTATGCTTCCCAGGAAGCTGAGGTTGCTTCAGGATGCTCTCAGGTCTGCTGGGTAATAGTATAGATTGTGAAGCGCATAGAACTAGCTGTTGAGTGGGGATTTGTGCTATACAAATGCTATCTATTATCATTATACCCCTACTCTTTTAAAGAGGGATAGGAGAGACTCATTTTTTGCTTTGACGGAAAAAATGTGGAAGTATCATTTATGAGGAGTCATCAGACAACATAATCATGTCTTACTGTATAAAATCACCAAACTTGTAGGGTCTGAATAGAGCAAGCATTTGACATTTCTCACAAAATAAACATCTAGGGTTTTTTTTAAAGTTTGAAATGTAGATCTCCGTCTTGTCCATATATTTCCAAAAATGTTTTTAATATCTCACAGTCAACAGTCATTCTAAAATAAATAAGATAAAATGGTATGCACAACACTGAAGAAACCAGCTGTTGACAGTTTACTTACTTACATTACTTAAAGTATCCCTTAGTCTAAATGACCGTTGGGGCACCAAGTATTACATGGGTCTGAACTCAGAATTTAAAAAAAAAGGTGGAACTTGCCACGTGATCTCGAAGATAATTTCAAGTAAAAGAGTCACCAAATATATTTACAATCTTGATAATGTATTCTCTCTCTCTGAAATGGCGGTAGCGGAAATCCGCTAAATAGCGGAATATTGAGACCGTGGTATTATCAAACAACCACTTCCTCCATCCTTCTTTATTTTCAGCCTCTCGAAGTGGTTCACCCAACTTGCATTTTTTTCACAGTGGTGAGAAGATCTTCATAGGGCCAAATGGCACATCAGATTCTGTTTCTCACTTCCTCATTTGTAACATAATTTCAGTGGGAGATGCCCAAAAGTCTTTGGAAGTATCTTGTTTCTGTACCTTGTACCTTCCTCTCTAACTCTGCTGTATGGGACCTTGTCTCACAAGCGTACAGGAAGACTGAAATGACAAAGAAATGCTTCAGCCTTGTCTGATTTTCCTTGTTAACTCAGGTAACGACAGACCCAGAGTGGTATAATCTGTGACAGTCTTTTTCATCCTGTGTGTCTAGGGGAAAAAAAACAGGCGCAACCCACCCCTCTTCTCCTTTCCTACTTTAAAAAATTGTTGGTGCAAAGTTCCTTCAAACCTCTAGAGACAAAAATAATATTTAATGCCATCTCTCTCTCAGTGCAATAGGCTTTCTTTTTTCAGCACGAAAAAGAGCCAAACCCTTGCCAGTGGAATAGTACCCACTCCTATTTCTTGAAATCAGTTTTCTGTAAGGAATGCAAGGATTTTTTTCTTTTAATCAACGCAATTTATATCATTTAGAGGGCAAGCTGCTTAATCCTGCCAGTCGGGACCAAGCTGGACTGAGTGGGATACAACATCCCAAATAGCAGAAAGAAACATTTGGTAAAAAAATAACTTCTCCACAGGGGCATCAAACTCATGTTTTCGGCATGCAACAGCAAAGAACCTGACCAACAGGCCATGAATGCCAGACCAGCTTTCTGGCTTCTACAAAAGAGGACATCATTTGTTATACAGTCGAACCTGTGTAAGATGGAATCGCAAGGGAGCGGGGAAAAAATTCCATCTTAGACATTTTCCGTCGTAGACAGGGGAATTTAGGGGGAGAGAGAGAGAGAGAGAGAGAGAGAGACAGAGAGACAGAGAGACAGAGAGAGGTGGGGGGGGGGGGGATGCGGGGGATGCGTGGGATGCAAAGGCCCAGCTGGTGGGATCAAGGATCGTTTGTCCGATTGGTAAGCAGTGGTCAAAACTTCACACCTCTCAACTGATAATGACATGCGTCAGTTTTACTTATCCAATTACCACAAGTGCTTGCCTTTCAAAGGACCACTGTTTGACCTATTTCAAACAGAAACGTTTGAACATCTCCTTTGCTTCCACCCTTAGCCCCACCCACCAATGCCATCCCTCACTGCCATCATTGTAACAACGATTCGAGGAACTCTTTTCTCGGCTGGCCGTACGATCAGGGCGGCAGGCATTGGTCAATTCAGTTTCACACCTCTGGCTTCTGGCTACCCAGGACAGTTTTCGTAGTGGCTTGCTACTCCAGCACTCTCACGGGCAATCGTGAGATTTCACACCCACACTACACTGATCATCTGCATCGCTCAGGGCTCACATGATGGGGTCACATCTACCCCCAAATTGCACCCCTACTCCCCTTCCTCGCCCTGCGGCATGACCATAGCGTTAGTTTAGAGCCGACGGAACCAAACTTGTTAGTTTTGTTTCAAGTCAGGGCTGAGCAGTCAAAGCATTTTCCGTCTTAGACAGGTGAAACCCTCTGCAGGGAGCAGCTTTTTCTTTCCGTTTCCGCATTGGACTGGTTTCCGTTTTATACAGGTAATTAAAGAGGAATATATCAAGGGGGGGGAGCGGGGAGATTCCGTTAAGACAGGTTTCCGTTTTATACAGGTTTCCGTTAAGGCAGGTTCGACTGTATCTTGAATAAAAAATCACATGTATTGCAACACTGCAACCAGAAACATTTGGGCTCTATCCTAGTGTTGTATAGTTGACTGACCTTCATTACTTGATTTGGCAGCCGCATATGCAGCTGCCATCTTCTTTATGTTTTCCTGTCTCGCCCTGTCATGGTCCACAATGGGTCGTGGGTAGTCTTTGCCCACAATGCAACCCGCTGCTTGCTGCACAGAGCTGGGAGCCAACCATGGCTCAAAGATGTACTTGGCTGGGAACTTCTTCAAAACAGGAAGGTACTTCCTAGAATTAAATCAACAATGAAAAGAAAAATACATCATATACTTTTATATATATATATCAAATATAATTTTTTTTAAAGCCTTTTCTAGAAAAATATCAACAAAAGCAACAGAAAAACATACCCAAATTATATATATCAATGTAGCGTGGCACAGGGGGCATTATTCATGTAAAATATAGACACAACTGTTTAACTTTGTTTATCTCCCCTGAAATTCATACAAGGTGAGATTCATAGAATAATGAAAAGATTTCCGCATCCCACAGATTTAGCTATGCGTGTGCCAGACTATAATGTTAATAATGTTAATAATGACAAGAGTAATAGTGATATATTGAATAACTGTAAAATCACTGGTAATAATAATAAAACAGCACTCATAGCAATAAAAAACATTACAATATTATTAAGGGGGCTCAATACTTTCGGACATTTTTAACTAAAGAGAAACTGAAACAGCTTTTGTCACAGGCAGAAAGTATTCGACAAAAGATTCATGTTCAACTGTTGACTACACTCGATTACCTAAGCTGTCGCCATGGAAACGGCGGCTATCATGAAAATTGGATAGACAATTTTTTTTTTCTCCACCATTTCTACAGTTTTTAACTTTTAAAAATTCTGTAACTTGAAAAATGTCACAAATAAATAGGTGCATGCAGCTGGCTATTTTGATTTTTGATACTATACTTAGAAAGTATCCAAATTTGTTCTCAAAGCTGGGGATATTGAATTCGATCTTTAAAAAAATATTTTTGGCATGAAAAAAAAATTGTAAAAGTAATTCTAAAGCAAAACGTAAAAAACTAACCAGCTCACTACAAGTGCAAACTATTTTTCTACTACATGCCAAATTTCAATTCTCTGTGTTGGAGAATAAAAAAATGGTGGAGAAAAATAAAAGCCATATGCAAGCAAAAAGTGGGGAAAAAATGTGTTTTGAGAAAAACAAGGTTTAATATCTGGTTAGTACACAACATAATTAAGGCTCTTTTCGTCTATGCAGACAGTCAATTTAGCTTAAGAGCTAAAGGCAGTCTTCATTCAGCTTCTTTCATGGCTAATTTTTCCTATGTTTGAAGTGCAGATTCTGTCGCAGTGCTTGCATGTCAGTGACGTAGATCGTAGCTCTGTATTTCCGCAGTTTTCCTTTCATCGTTGGCACTTCTCCGCCTGGTTGTTTCTAAGGCTGCTCTCTAGCATTATAGTTCTTTCCTTTATCATTTTCCTCCATGTTTTCCTGTCCTCAGCTATTTCTTCCCAGATGCTAATGTCTACTCCAAGCTCAAATAAGCTGTTTTTGCAGGGGTCTTTGTACCTCAATTTTGGTCTTCCTCTTGGTCTCTTTCCCTGGGCAAGTTCTCCATAGAGAAGTTGCTTCGGAATCCGGTTGTCGTCCATTCTCTAGACATGGCCAAGCCATCTCAATCTTTTAAAACACAGGATAGTTGTCATGCTCTAGAGGTTTGCCCTTGCCAACACTTCAACATTTGTAACCTTGTCACGCCACGAAATGCCTAAGATCCTACGGCAATATCTGAGATGGAAAATGTCGAGGTGCTTTTCTTGTCTGCTGTACAAGGTCCATGTTTCAGATCCATAAAGGAGTGTGCTGAGGACACATGCTTCGTAAATCTTTAACTTTGTATAGATGGTTAATCTTTTGTTTCCCATGCTCGTCTTGTCAGCCTTCCAAAAGTTGTTGCTGCTTTCCCTATCCTAACGTTAATCTCAATATCAAGGGAGGTAGTAGAGCTGATCATAGACCCCAGGTAACAGAACTTGTCCACTGTCTCAAGTTCCTTGTCGTTCAGCCATATATGGCTCTGCTCTGCACCTTCTTGGGTAGAATGACAGCTTTCTTAACACTGATGACCAAGCTAAAGACCTCTCATGCTGTTGATAGGCGGTCCATCATTGTTTGTAGGGTTGATTCACTGTGAGCAACAAGAGCAGCATCATCGGCGTTGTACACAACATAGAACCCAGTAAAATTGAATTCTGTTAATGTTACTCACTCAGAGACTAGTGTCAATGACATCTAGACGGAATGAGGGTTCGGAAAATACCAAAAGTAAAACTTGCTCAGAGTGAGCAAAAATCAGTCCCCGAGGCCCTAGACCCGACCTGCGAGCCCCCTTAACAACAATAACAATAATAATGACAATAGATATATATATATATAAAATACTAAAATAAATAATAATAATAATAAATAATAAGATGGTATTTATTAAGCCCATATCCCTATTTACAAAATAGTCCCAGCAGGAATACAGACCTGAGGTAGTCTCCATTAGGGTCTGTCTTTTTGCCAAAAGCCACGGGGCTATAGACACGGAAATACTGGTGGAAGAAAGCAGATGCTGAGAGCCACATCCAATTTCCAGCATTTAGACTCCAGTCAGCGTCCAGCAGCAACTCTTCAAACACCTGTAGAGATTTTTGTTTTAGTAAGCGCTTTGCAGCACTGGCAACACAATTAGGCCATGTAAATGCCGAAGAATAGAGGTGTTACATGAGAGTAACAAACATAAAAAAGAAGGAGGAGAGATAAAGATGATACTTGTACGATAGAAAAAAGGAGCAACCCACACCAGAGCACCTGCCAACCACCACACCTGCAGAAAGACACATTGAGGGTACATGCAGCTATACATTATGTCTCACTACGTCTTGCCTTTCTTTCAATGGTGTCTGTGGTGCAACGTTGATGCTCTTTGCCATCCCATGCAGAAGATGCAAGATTGGTTCTCGTGTGAGGAAGTCATTATATCGAGTAGCACCACTTGTCTGCCAATATGTTGTGTATAACACAGCCCTGGCAAAAGCATCCACTGTCTATATGGTTTTAATTGGGCCGATGGGGGTATAAAATCTAAAACATTCGTTATTATACATTGTTTCTTTCTATGTCTTTAGCAATGATGTATCCATCCTTAGACTAGCTGATTGAAAACAAGTTTCAAAAAGCATAACCACCAAAACTAACTCTCTCTCTCTCTGAATGTGTGTGAGCGTGCGTGTGTGCGTGCCTGTGTGCGTGCGGGTGTGCATGTGTGCGTGTGCGTGCGTGCGTGTAGCGCATGTGTGTGCCTGTGTGCATGACATTTTACTTGCATGTGTAACGGCTTGAACACATGTGTGTATGTGAGTGTGTTTTAGAGGAGGGGGGAGGGGGGATGTGTTCAACTGTGACAAAAATATCAGAAAGCAAGTTTGTTCAAGAGAAGAGAAATGAAATCCTATTCAAACTATTCAAAAAGCATGTGACTTTGGTCTTCCGAAATAAAAATCTAACCAAAACATGGCCAAAGCACGGATTCCAGGAACTTGGCCAGCCCCTAACAATATTGTTTGAGTAAAGAGAAGCACATCAACACAATAACATTCATTTAGTGTTGAGAGAAAAAGCAAGACAGATAGACAGAATCAATAGAGGGACAGAAAAGAAGAAAACCTACCACCAGCACCCTCCATCCACCCTTCAATCACCCTAAAATGTCAATTCATTAAGATTCGGTGGTTTGTAAAACACCCATTACAAGATGAATTTCGAATCTCACCAATAAACATCAGTCTTTTTTATCTCTGTCTTTTCCCCAACACCCTTCTCACCTTCATGCCTTGCTCCCAGCTGACCCACAAGTCCCCACGTGTGAGAAAGCAGGCCACAGCATGTCTGGCCAAGTGGTGTATCCAGCCTTCCAGGCGTAGCTGTGTCATCACAGCATCAATGAACGGGTAACCAGTCCGAGCCTGAAGAAAGATTACAGTAAAATCTTTTGAGTAAGAGTTTGAGTTTAATTAAAGAGAAGCTTACTGCTTACTACTTACTTACAGAACCCATAATCCACTAGGATCGTAGAGACACTGTATGATACAGAGCCTTGTCAAGTGCCTCCACTTTTCACATTTTTTTGTGAGCGCCTGTGTTTGGGTAAAGGATTTCTCTGTCCACTCCGCAATGTTGTCACTTCACCTCTTCTTTTGCCTTCCTCTCCTTCTCCTCCCCTGCACAATTCCCTGTACAATCGTCTCGGATAGGCAACACAATCTTGTGACATGACCATACCAATTGTTTTCTTCGCTTCACTGTAGACAGCAAGTCTAAATAGTGGCTCGTATGTAGTTTCACTCTACTGCCCACTTTCTCATTTGTGACGTGGTCATTGTATGAGATGCCAAAAAGTGATCTAAAGCATCTCATTTAGGCTGCTTGGATCTTCCTCTGAAGCTCTGCCATCAAGGTTCGTGATTCACAAGCATACAGAAGGATGAAGATGACGAGGGCATAGAGTAGTCTGATTTTGGAACAGACTGAGATGTTTTTATCTTTCCATATAAGAGAATCACATTGATGCAATAACTAAAATTCTGGGAAAAAGCATGACAGATTGAAAACAATGAGGGAAAGTAAGAAGGAAGTAGGACCTATCGGTAGCATGCTCCAACAACTCACACAGTAAAACCTCAAGGAACAAAATGTCAAACTTCAGCAAATTAAATGTGCTGCAATCAACAATACCAGGGGTAGCCTTCTCTATTACAACAAGTGCAGTAAGAAAAAAAAATCAAAGACATAAAAAAGCCTACAAAGAAAACAAGCATACACCTTAATGACTTTACCTCAAAGGAATAAATCATCCAGGATAGCTGGATGAAGTACAGAAACCTCAACAAACACAGTAACACAAATCTAGTTCTATCAGAACAACACCAGAAAATGGCACAAAAATGAGGCATATACACAAGTCCTTATGAGTTCAGGTTTCAGAAAATCATCCACACGATAGTAGCTATAAATGTGTTAGATCCTGCACAACACAATTTAGATCATTAAGCAGGCCCGTTTGAACCTCACCTGTTAGGGCCAAGCTGAGCTAAACGAGGTACTGAGGCCCAACACTAAGAAAGATACGCTCGATAAAATGAACCTCCCCAGGAGGGAACAAAACTTAAGTCTTCTGTACAGTGGAACTCGGATTCAACGAGGTCGCCGGGCCTGACCTAAAATCTCGTTGAATCCGAGTGTTTGTTATAGCAAACACAAGGTTTTGTATAGATAATTACAGGCTCTGAGCAAGTAATGTATAAAGAGAAGTCACATGTAGTGCCTGAAATGTCTGCATATTATGAGCTGTGTAAAAAAAAAGACCGATTCATTCAAACGCACACGTCTGTGTTATCTCGAATGTTTACCAAAATGTTGTGTTGCTGTGTAGAGCCTAGCATACGGCTACTTTAGATTCCATAGACCAGCGCACAATTCATTACGTAGATCTACGTCAAGACTAGCTTATCATTGTAATAACGATCAGTTGCCGGGGAAAAAACAAGACTGTGACGCGTTTACATCTGCGACGTTGTACGCCCGGACCACTGGTGCCCCCACCTTCCACGACACGCACACACAGCCACACGTGTGCAGGCCCCCATCTGACCCCGACACACGCCAGAGTAGACACGTGCGCATGCCTAGAACGCATGTGTTGGTATGAAAAAAGGTAGCTGATTGGTCGCATGCAATCGGCTGAGTGAATAATGGTTCACGATGCAGGTGCAATGGATGGTTTCCAGGAATAGATAAAGTTCGTTCCGGGAGAAAAATGAGCGAAGCCAGGTCTGCGGGGGGCTTTTCACCCTGGAAGCGACCTCGTTGAATCCGAGCCCCCTGATTTAAGTGCTCGTTGAATTCGGGATATTAGTATGAATTTTAAAGAAGAAAAAAAATGGGGAATCTATCTCATCTCGTTGAATCCGAGTTCTCGTTGAATCCGAGTTCCACAGTATAAGGTGAAAAATTAATTCATCGTGACACAGAGTTCAGACACTTTCGAATCAAACAAGGACAATTACAACACAGATACCTAAAAAAGCAAAGCAAGCCTCATAGGAAAACCCATCATTCCCCCCTCACCTTTCCCTCCTTTTCATCACCCACCCTCCCCCCCACTCCACCTCCCTCCTTTCTGTCTCCATCTCCCTCCTTAATTTGTCGTCTCCCCCCCCCCCCCCCCCCCCCCCCCCCAAGGAAAAAGTGGATGAAAAAAAAGGGCTTTCCTAAAGAAAAAATCGTCATCAAAGAAAATCAGCGGAATAGACAACGCTCTTTCGTCTGATCACCGACCTCTGTCCAGGCTTCCAAATGTTCAGGCTTTGAACCCCAGGGTATCTGCCTGCACACAGGGTTTCCCTTCATGCGGTCAAAGTTGGGAGTGACCGCTCCCACGGTGTAGAAGAATTCTCTCCACAACAGTTGTCCGTGGAGAGAAACTGGAGGTTGTGAGTGTTTCTGGCAGTCAGAGAAACAAAAACGCATGACACATACAGCCACTGGGTCAGGTGGGGAGGGGTGGGATGAGAAGTAACATTAGGAAAAAATATTTTAAAAACAGAAGTGGAAAGATAAGATAAGAGAATACTTTATATTCTCCTAGAGGAAATAGAAATTAAATTATATATTACTCTCATTAAAATTCAACATAAAAGAAAAGTAAAGCAGACAATAATGTAAATATCACATCAGAAGTATCATTCGTCCACAAGAATGAATTAATCACAAAACCTTTAGAGTTATATAGATACGCGTATATATTCGAAACAGCAAAACACATTGATGTTTATTCTGACAGTAGCCTCATACTAGATGGTAAGAATTTCTTTTGTATCTTTTTTTCTTTGTTCAGGGTGGTACATATCTTCTGAATATTAGACATTGAGATGCAAAGTGGTCACATTTGTAATGGACTTAATCATTTTTCTCTTGGGAAGGGGGGGGGGGGGGGGGGGGGAGAACCAGAGTAATATGGGAGAGACAATAAAATATTAGTGCATTAATGCAACAGCAGAAGAGTATACCTTTCCCGAGTAAACTTGCTGCAAACGGTGGTAAAAGAGTCGTGGAGAGAGACAGCCAAACTTGAGGTAGGGGCTGAGTACTGTGGTGCTGGGGCTCAAACTGTTAGGTGAGGTCTTGGGCTTCTCGAAGTTGCAGATCCAATTCTGGAGACAAACACAATGATATACATCCCAGGTATCTTAAAAGCATTATCTCAGTAATATCTTGCAAGTAAGTATTTGTGTGTATGTATGTACGTGGATGGGGGGGGGGGGGGGGGTCTTTTTTTTTGTCAATGTATTACAATAATACATTCCTAGGCATGAAAAATAAGTCATTCTAGAGGCAATGCACTTGATCAGGTGATAAGCATAAAGAACGAAGTGGAAAGAAAGGACCTGAGAGATGATATACCAATACCACAGTAAATATTGCACATGTTCACCTATGCAATTCTTTCTTTAAAGGGAGTGCATGTCCTCTCGTCGTTAAGTGTTTTTATTTATACCGTCACCCACACAAGAAGGGGGGAAGGAGGGGTGATAATCAACTTTTAACTTCTCCCCTGTTTACTAGCCCACTATTTTAGCATTTAAGTACATATCGCTAGCCGCATGATTCAACCGCCTAAGTGCCAAGAGACAAACTTTTCAGGAGAAGCAAAAAACTGTTTTATTTCGTTATTGGGGGGTTCCTAAAAACGTTCAAAATTATCCATGAGCTCTTAAACCATACCATTTTTCAGGGACCTTTCGATTCCACTGTGTGGTCTTTCCACTTCCATTTGCGTTTATTCTTTTTCAAGGTATTTGTGTTCAACAGTTTTGTTCTATCCTGTACAAATGTCACTGACTGCTTTTAGCACTTAGCGTTGTGGTCTGATAAGTACAGCCTTCACTGTATATAATGAACATGGCATATTTACTGTCAATGGGCTCCTCCAGGAAGTTACTGACACAAGAAGAGAATTCATTAACTATCAATGGTCCTTCTTGTATCTTTGATTACCAAATCTTTATAAAAAAATAGACAGCTAATTTGGCATGTTATGATAGTGTAGCGGATGATTCCAAAGCTGTACAAACAAATCCGCTTCCAAGTTTATGCACACTAGACATGATCTGACGCCATCCACGGGGTTTTGTGCAAGCTTCTTATTAGATTCTTTCTCCTACCGTATACATCACATTGATCTTTCCGACATACATACAACAAAAGGTTGCTCTTTTTTAATATCTCTTTAAGTCGTCTGAGACAAGGTGTGACTCTTTCTGTTTTCTTTGGTACTCTCTATAAAGGCCTCTGAGGCTTTGAAAGTGTTAGTCAAGATAGATTTTACCTATATTCTGTCTGTAGTAATGGGACCGCAATTTCGTCAAGTTTATCGAAAAATTACTAATCACAAAATTGCTCTCTGGTAATTTGACAATCATGGAGCTCCCATCCCCAAGTCATGTAAACTGTCTTTGCAACAGTCATGAATAACAAACTCATTGTTTTGCATATAAGTAGAATGTATGAGATTTGTTTCAAATTGAAGTGTAGAGCTGGAGAGTTTAAGTTGAAGAGAGAATTATACGGGCGAATATGTTTGTGAGTAGCTTTTTTTTTTTCGAGTGACAAATTACGTATCATCTGCCCGGCACTGATTAACTAACCAATGATTCAAGAATGGTACATGACAGACACAACAAAAGTAAATTAAAAAACGTGAAAAGTAAAATATTTTCCAATTGTTGTACCAAATGTGAAATAAGCGCCTCTAAGCTGTCAATCATAGACTTTTTACAAAACTCATTCGTCAGTAGCGTTTGCCACAATTTACCGACTTGGTCGAGTCAGTATTAACATATTCTCTGATGCCATCTTGCTCTTTCTCAACTACATTACCAATCCTAGTGATAGATTACGCAAACTGCCCTGACAAATTCTCCAGGCTATCCATAGGGTTCGATCTGAGTTGAAGTTAGCAAAGGCAGCAATTTGTTTCAATGTTTCCCTCAAGTCTGTTTTGACAAAGGCCACAGTCATATGGGTCACACCGCCTACACGACAGGTGAACACCTCAACAAGCCACTGAATCTGCGTGATTCAACCGCCCATTCGCCACCGGCTGCAAAACTGGCACTTGGGCGGTTGAATCACGTGGAAATTGGGGACTAGTGTGATACAGGTGATTGATTTACCGAAGGACTGAAACACTTTGCAGTAATATTTCAAACTTGGGATTTTAAAAATAAGATAAGGTGTAGCAAAGGTTGTACTACATAAAGGGATCAAAAAGTGATTTTCAAAAATTTTGTTACTTAGGCAGTTGAATCCCGTGGCTAGTGATATATGTGAGACATAGTGGTGAAATCAGACGCCAGTCAAAATAATAAGGCACAAAAATAGTATATTTTTAATTCCCAAGGACTCTCAAGCTATGTAAGTTACCAAACTTTGGCGGCCATTTTCTCGATAATTTTACCTCTGAAACGAGGTGACCCCCACCTTCTTCAATTGGAATTACCTTGACTTCTATTAAAGATAGAAGGGTATTTTTCTTCATCAAATGCAAGACAAATGAATAAGCTGTAAGATGACACCATTAACTCAACGTGCCCAAAATTGACGAGCACCTGATTCCACCGCATTGTGACACATATAACCATGTACACACAAAAAATACTCAGTCATACAAACATTCACACACAGACAGACAAAGACAATCTGAAACAAAACAACAGAAAAATTCAGTTAAGCCCTCCCCCAAAGACACAGTGTGGAAGTTAGCATGTAAAAGTTGGCTTCAAAAGAGAAAGCCTTCAAAAGAGAAAGCCTTAACTCTTTTTATCCGGGCTACGAGTATACTCGGAACAGCGATAAAGTCACATCAAAGAAGCTAGTTCTGCTTGTAATTACCAAAATACGCAAATATGGCCATGCTACCTCCGTCTGAATATTAAAATTTTCCAATGAACAGCGGTTTCTTTGTTTTTGATGGGTGTAGAAGCTTGAAAGATGTCTCGAAAACGCACGTTCACGACCGACAAAGTACTTTTTGAAGTGGCCCTGGGTTGTGAGGGGGAATGAGACTGATTTGATGAAAGTGACTCTGAATCAAGTGCCATAAATTCCGTTGTGGAAGATAACAAATAGGACTTAGATCCATCTAATAGCGATTCAAATCATGGAGAAGGGGTCAGTACTGGAATTCGTGCTGTATCGATGGGTAGGGCTAGATCTATAAAATCCAATGGGACGTCGTGTGCGCGGCAATCAAGGTCAAGTTGGAGGGTGGAATACACCTCAAAATCTCCATTCTGCAATTAGTGTATAACTTAACCACATACATTTACAAAAACTAAATTCAATTTCTAACATAACAGCCAAATTTCCTTAAAACCTAAGAGTAAATATAAGAAATTGAGCACTTTGAAATATACACCCTGAATTTCAACTCATACGGCGTGGCAGCCCCAGGGCGGGGACAAAGTCTGCGGGGGTACGGCCAGGATAAAAAGAGTCAAATACAGTGGAACTCGGTTTCAACGAGAACTCGGATTCAACAAGACGAGATAGATTCCCCGTTTTTATTCTTTTTAAAAATCAATAAGAATAACGCGGATTCAACGAGCACTTAAATCAGCGAGCTCGGATTCAACGAGGTCACTTTCAGGATGAACAGCCCCCGCAGATGTGGCTTCGCTCTTTTTTCTCCCACATCGAGCTTTATCTATTCCCGGAAACCATCCATTGCACCTGCATCGTGAACCATTATACACTTAGCCGATTGCATACGACCAACCAGCGGGCTTTTTTCATACCAACATATGCGTTGTTGGCACGCGCACGTTTCTACTCTGGTGTGTGTCGTGGTTCGTGGTTGGATGGGCGGCCTGCACACGTGTGGCTGTGTGTGCATGTCGGGGGGGGGGGGGTCACTAGCGGTCCGGGCAATGAACGTCGCAGATACAAACATGTCACAGTCTTTTTTTTTTCTCTAGGCAACTGATCATTATTACAATGATAAGCTAGCCTAGTCTTGACGTAGATATACGTAATGAATTGTGTGCTGGTCTATGGAATCAAAAGTTGCTGTATGCTAAGCTCTTCACAGCAACACAACTTTTTGGTAAACAATCGAGATGACACAGGCGTGTGCATTTGAACGAATCGGCCTTTTTTTTTTTTTGCACAGCTCACAATATGCAGGCATTTCAGGAACTACTTGTGACTTCTCTGTATACATTACTTGCTCAGTGCCTGTAATTATCTACACAAAACCTCATGTTTGCTATAACGAACACTCGGATTCAACAAGGTTTTAGGCCAGGTCCGGCCACCTCGTTGAATCCGAGTTCTACAGTATTATAATTTAATTACTCATACAGAAAGCAGGACAGCAGGGTGCCACAGTAAAGCTTTTCTATATCTTCTCCATCAGCTTTTCAGAGTTCCGCATCAAGATCTTTGATTAGTTGTAAATGGCATAATATCACAAACAAAACAACATAAACAATGTTGACAAGAACAAAGTTCAGATACCTCACTATTTTTTTTTCTCCCCATTTAGAGAGCATAAAATCACAACAAAACTATGGTGAGTCTAATTGGAAAAGATCAGTTCAATGCAACACAACAAATTTACAAATAAAAGTCTTACAATTTTCTTCAAATGTCGTTCCATTCTATCCAATGCTTCTGTTTCTCCTCCAGGAAAAAGCAGAGGGCCACAATCGGATGATGATTTCCCTAGCTCTTCCAGTGTAGGTACTCCATAGTATTGATCATGTGATGAACTCACAGGCGTTTTGCAACCTGCAATGTTAAAGCAGGGCGAGTTATAGTCTAGGCTTAAAAATAAAAGAAGATCATCCTCACAATAATGATCCTCCAGTATTGAGAAAAGCAAGACAAGCAGACAGAAACAACAGCCAGATAGTTAAGAAGTAGAACCTATCAGTAGTCAACAACTTGCTGAGATGTTCTTGCCTCATCTATCTCCATCTATATGCAACTCTCTTCAAGAACATTTGAGGAATACAAAATCAGAAGTAAAATTTAAATTCATTTAAAAACATGCTTCATGAAATGCCATTTTAGTAGTTTGTCCTTCTTATTCATAGTACTTTTACGTTCTTAGTGTGATGTGCATTTCATCATTGATAGTGATGGTGATAAATTGATTGTGCTGTGATAGTATGAATGTCTTCTTATGTGTTAGCGTTACTATAAAGAACATGTGTATTCACGTACAGTGAGAAACTAGAGAACAAAGAGTAATAAAACTCAGTTAAAAATATGCCTACATAACCGAAGATACCTTTACTTTAATTGAAGAAACCTTTACTTGTTAAAAAAAACAACTTTTTATACCTTCGAGGTCTGTTAGAGTTGGACTAAGCAGTGCTTTAGCAGGTGTACCCATTTTGGACAGCACGCTTTGAAACTTTTGATAGGTGAGCGGGGCACAGCCTCCATTGTTCTTTACTGTCCTGATGCATCAATGAAAAGGAAATGTCAAACCTCATAGCACTCACTATGATGAAGTACAAAAATGCGGAAAGGGATGGGGGGTGGAGAGACCATACTCACCAAGTATTATATCCACCCATTTTTCATGCTTGACTTCCCCAATACAAGCCACTATCT